ACAGAAAAACATGACTGCCTGCTTTTAGTGTCTGCGACACAGAGAGAAAACGAAAGCAACAGAAAACATAAACATCCTGTGAACAGGAAATACGCAGACTCTGACTCACAAAGCCTGCTCCCTTTTAAGGTGGAACGGAAAAATCCTAACAGGTGTGCCTGCCTAGTGCAGTTCCCAAAATAGGGCCCCCCTTCTCCAAAAAAGAAATGCATGATATAAGAGACCAGAAAATATATACTGAGGTGTTTTGAAGACCAACCAATTTAACTTTCATGCACTACAAAAAAATAATAGTAATACTTTGAGCACATGCAGTTTTGCAACGCTCAGCAAAACACAACCGAAAAACATTTCGGCAACCCTAATAAACAAAATGGTTGGCTTATTTTACAGAAATAATTTAGAAGGGTGTCTGCACATTTTGCTTTATATAAATCAATCAATCTTTAGTATGGTCCAGAGACCCAACAAATTGTTACAAAGCAATGGACAATTCAGACAGCCTACCTCCAGGTTAAACAAGCATTTTGTTCAGGCTTAAAAATAGGGATCATTGGTTCTTGCAACCACCAATAGAAACTTTGCCACTGCTAATGTTCTAGCGTTTGCCCGGTCTTCCAATAGGAACCTGGCATAGTAAGCCCCTGATTTTCCCGGGAAAGGTACCAGCAAGGGTAATATCAGTCCAGCCCTGGCTTGCTCATATTTTGCACAGTGCAGCAAAATATATTTTATAGAATCGATGTCTTGAGCACACGAGCTTTATACCTTTCCTTCTACCAGGACTAGAGGCTTACTATTTTTTTATTAAGAAAGCTTAGAGCCTGGACTCTTGCAGGCATGGTCCCTGCTGCAATTGCTCCCAAGAGAAGTTTCAGGCAAAGTGTCCTTCTCTAGCTTTGGAGATGAGAGAGGAGGGGAGCTACCCAGTGCAGTGGATTCACTGGTGAAAGCCCCAGCAGAAATGCGTGACAAAGTGAGGTTGGTGTATCATAGCTTTCAGCGCAAACTTGAACCCCTTTAAAGTGGCTCAAGGTTGCATGGAAACCTGTACCTGGTAGGACCTTGTCCCTTCTTAGGTTTTGTGAAGAGGGGCGGGGCTATTATTTGAGACCATCCCACCTGGAGCCGAGGCACAAAGAGGATGAAACAAGAGGGCCCTTTGCAGGCATAGCCCATGGAGTGCTCCAATTCCAGCATTATAATCTGGTGTTGAGTAGAAGCAGAATAATAATAATAATAATAATAATAATAATAATAATAATAATACTTTATTATTTATACCCCGCCCATCAGCCACTCTGGGCGGCTCCCAACAGAATACTAAAAACACGATAAAAGATCAAACATTAAAAACTTTCCTAAACAGAGCTGCTTTCAGGTGTCTTTTAGAAAAGTCAGATAGTTGTTTATTTCCTTAACATCTGATGGGAGGGTGTTCCACAGGGTAGGTGTCAGTCTTTGTAAAAAGCAAAAAAGAAGGAAAGGGTTCTGACCTCCCTTTGTCTCCTCAGCCTGGTCCTCGGACCCTTGTCGGCACAAAAAGAGTCCACGAGAATATCCTTGCAGAGTTTTATTCTTAAAAGTCTTTGTGCAAAACACGACTGAATAACTATACACACCAGCACTAACCAACCAACCCAACCTCCAGACACCAGCCTCAGCAACAAACTAACATTTCTCACTTATATATACAACTTGGTGCAGACCGCTGAGTCATGCTGACCCAGCTTTATTCGCATTAAAGAAACAGCGGCCATTTTAGCCGTGACACCCCTTCTGTTTCTTAAATGCGAAAAACCCCAACAGAAACAATACATACATACACTATATACATAAACCCAGTTTTGTCATCAATTCATTATGACATGTTGCTGGCAAAGGCTTGGTAAACAAATCAGCAATATGATCTTGTGACTGACAATACTCCAGTTTGATTACCCCATTCTGTACACAATCTCTCACATTCGCATGATGGATAGCAACATGTTTGGATGCGGATTTCATTATTTCTGAGCCCGCAAATGCAATGCACGATTGGCTATCTTCATACACTTGGATAGGCAAATCTACTTTACAATCTAGATCTTTTAGTATCTGTATAAACCACATGATTTCATTGCATGCTAGCGACAGGCTTCCATATTCTGCCTCACAGGATGAGGTCGCAACAAATCCTTGTTTCTTTGACCTCCATCCAATTATGGAATTGGCAAACATCATGACCATTCCACTTGTAGATTTTCTAGTAGCTACACAGCTTCCCCAGTCCGCATCAACAAATACTTCTAGTTTTTTGTCTTGTGTACTAGATCAGTGTTCCCCAACCTTGGACCTCCAGCTGTTTTTGGACTACAATTCCCATCATCCTTGACCACTGGTCTTGCTAGCGAGGGATGATGGGAGTTGTAGTCCAAAAACAGCTGGAGGCCCAAGGGTGGGGAAACCTGTACTAGATATCTTCAAACATACATTTAATGTCCCCTTTAGATATCTGATAAGCCTTTTCAAAGCACACCAATCGGCAGTACTGGGTTTAGATACACGTTGACTCAGAACATTTGTAGCACATGCAATGTCTGGCCTTGACCACTGGCTTAAATACAACAGTGATCCTATTTTTGAGTGATACAATTCAGGCTGATCAAATTCATCATCACACACTGTCTTTGGGAAATCTGGTGTCATGGGAGTCTGAACTGGCTTGCAGTTTTCCATGCCAAACTGCTCTATCAAATGAAGAATTTTCTCTTTCTGACTCAATAGGAAGCTTCCATCTGCTTCCTGCCTTACTTCTACTCCCAAGTAATTGCTTACAGGCCCTAAGGCTTTAAGCTTAAACCTCTTTTCCAGTTGACTTGTGAGCTTCTGGATCTCATCTGTGGAACTCCCTGCTACAAGCAAATCATCAACAAAGACTAAGAGCATTAGATATTTGTTGCCTGTCCCCTTGGTGTACAGGCATGGATCAGCCGCACTCCTTTTAAAACCAAGTTTTACAAGGGCTTCATTTAAACACTGGTTCCAACACCTTCCACTTTGTTTGAGACCATAAACAGCCTTTTTCAAATGCCAGACTGCACCATTCTCCTCTTCAAACCCAGGGGGTTGTCTCATTAACACTTCATGGTCTAAATTTGCATGCAGATACAGTGGTGCCCCGCAAGACGAATGCCTCGCAAGACGAAAAACTCGCTAAACGAAAGAGTTTTCCGTTTTTTGAGTCATTCCGCAAGACGAATTTCCCTATGGGCTTGCTTCGCAAGACGAAACGTCTTGCGAGTTCTTGCGAGTTTGTTTCCTTTTTCTTAAAGCCACTAAGCCGTTAATAGCCGCTAAGCTGCTAAGCCGTTAATAGCCGCTAAGCCGCTAAGCTGCTAATAGCTGTGCTTCGCAAGACGAAAAAACCGCAAGACGAAGAGACTCGCGGAACGGATTAATTTCGTCTTGCGAGGCACCACTGTATGCAGCATCAACATCAAAATGGTGCACTGCTAGTTGTCTTACAGCAGCAATGGAAAGCATGAAACGAAAAGTTTCACTCTTTACAGTGGGAGAAAACACTTCATCATAACTCTCCCCTTTAATCTGAGTGAACCCTCTGGCTACTAATCTGGCTCGAAAACGTGGTTCCCCAGATGCAAGGGTTTTTCTTTTGTAAACCCACTTGCATGACACCACTCTGCCACCAGGTGGCGGCATTATAACCTCAAACACTTTGTTACATTTAAAAGAGTCCATTTCTTCTTTCATAGCTTGTTCCCACAAAGCACGTTCTCCAGGGAGTAAGTCTAAGACTTCATTATAACTTTGTGGTTCCACACAACTCACATTGCATACTCTCACTCCTCCTAGGGTCAAACACTGAGGAGGTACACCCTTGTTTGAACGCTGGGAGCGTCTAGGCACAACTACTTCTTCTTCCCCCCTTATCTCTGGCTCTTCTTCCTCTTCCTCTAGAGAAGTATTATCTATTGCCACATCTTTTGGGGAAATCTGTGCCTCCTCCTCATCCTGCTCCTGTGTTGCCAATGGTTGAGAAGAAGCCTCTTCTCTTACTTGCAGGGGCAGTAGGCAATCTGGGTTGGCATGGATCGCAGTCCATCTGTCCTGGTCAGCGAAGTCTGCACTTCGTGACAGAACCACGCATCCTGGGCGTAGATTGAAACGCCACCCTTTGCCATAGGACTGATATCCCACAAACTGCAGTTTCTGCGCTCTAGCGCCCCCTTTCTGGCGCTGGGCTTTGGGGATATTTACATGTGCCCAAGAACCCCAGTTATGGAGCATTGTCCACTCTGGTTCTTTCCCAAACAACACACGATATGGAATATCTTTTATAGAGCTAGACCAGGTTCTATTAATCAAAAAGTTCGCTGTCAGGAAAGCCTTGCCCCACAGCCTATGGTTGTGACCCAATCCTGCATCCACTAGCAGGCAGTCCTTTACTGACTGTATTACAGCCCCAAGTCTTTCACACAGACCATTTTCAGCAGGGCTATAAGGGTCAGTCAAACGATGGGTGATCCCCTTACATCGCAACCATGCCCCAAATTGTTTGTTCAGAAATTCTCCGCCCCGATCTGTTTGCAACTGCACAACAGGGCGAGCGAAGAGCTTTTCAGCTTGGGCAACCCATTCTCTGAATGTGGGGAAACACTCAGATTTCTGCTTTAACAAAAACAACCAACTAAAACGTGATTTATCATCTATTACCAGAAAAGCATATCTGGCGCCCCTTCAGTCTTCTGTGGGAAAGGGCCTATCACGTCACAATGGACAAGTTCTAAAACCTCTTTAGATACTCTGTCACTTTTAGAAGCCACAGGCTTCCTCTTAGATTTGGCCATTTTACATACATTGCAATCTAGGAAACAGTTACAGCTATTTACTTTTAGGTTCTTGCACACCTTTTGCATCTCTGAAAGCACACGAAAATTGGCGTGACCCAGTTTTCTGTGCAGTTCATGTACACACCCCTTATGAACTGGCAAATTATCCTAAACCACCTGGGCTGCTTTAACAGGCTTGTCCTGCATTACATATAACCCATTTTCCATCTTTGCATAGCCACATACCTGAGTTCCATTCTTTATCAGACAGCCATCCTGCGTGAACTTAACACTATACCCTGCTTTAATCAAACAGCTTACAGACAGTAAACAATAGTCCAAACTGCTGACAAACAGAATCTCTGGTAGAGTAGTGTTCAACCACTGCAGGAAACATGTTCCCTGGCCATCAATCTTGCTTCTACGACCATCAGCAAGATAGATTGAGTCTTTTCCATCAGCTGGCTTCTCCAGGGTCTTAAAGTCCTCCCGACTGTTGCACATAATCCTGCTGCTGCCAGAGTCCAGCAACCATGTTCCTCGAGGTATCTTCCTCTCCTCTCGAGAAAATGCAGACACAAACTGAGCAGAACGCGTGTTCTTCTTCCCTGAAGAGAACCCCTTCTGCTTATGTTTCTGCGTCGATTGCTGTCTCTGCTCCACGTCGTCTCCTGGAAGTCTTGCCCTGCATTGACGTTGGAGATGCCCAGGTTGGTTGCATCTATAGCACCTCCTCACCACCATGGCCAAGTCCAAACCTTGGCGTTGCTCCATTGGCAGATTCTGCTGCTGGCCCCCTCGACTGTAACTCCTCCGCTCTTGGAGTTCAGCCTGTCTATCTGACCTTCTTTCTGCTTCTTTGGTCAATCTGCCAACCACATACTCAAGGGTCAGATCTCGGGGATGCATATTCTCCATGCTGTTAATCACAGGCAACCAGCTTTCAGGCAAACTTGAAAGGATAATGTATGTTTGGTCAGTCTCATCATAACGCTTACCTCTCTGCTGTAGTTGAAGAAACAGAGATTTCAGTGTTTGAAGATGAGTTGCCAAACTCTCACCTTCCTTCATAACAGTCCTGAACAGCCTTCTGGTCAGAGAAATTATAGTTCCAGCAGTTTCTCTGACATGCATTGCCCTTAATAAATTCCAGCACTCAAATGCTGTGCTGGCATTTGCTACATGCAATAACTTAGAGTTGCTCAAACACAACATAATTTGGGCACGAGCCCTTTCATCTAGCCGTTTTTTCTCAGCAGAGTCCCGTCTCAAAACCTCAGTTTCAACACAGTCCCATAGTCCATCTCTCCTTAACAACTGCTGCATTTTAATTGACCAACTCAGCCAGTTGCTTTCTGAGAGAAGTTCAAAAGGGATGCCTCCCCCAATATTTACAACTTGGGAAGACTGGAAATCTGCCATCTCTGCTGGTGCTTGCTGAGCCCCTTCTGTGGGGCCTCCAGCAATCTCTCCTGACTCTCTTTTTGGAGTCCAACTGGATGGTCCTGGCTGGCACTCACCGGCTTCTAGCTGCTGCCTCTGTTGACCCTCAGGTCCCGCCTGGCTCTGCAACTGGTGTAGCCGCTCTGTGAGTCGCCTACTGTGGTCCTCTAGCAGTTCAAACTGTTCCAGTAGCTGACACTGAGTGCTTTCCTGATCCTCAGATCCTAGCCGCTCCAGTGTCACTGCAGACAGTTACAGCTTGCCACCAACTGCTCCAACGCACAGCCACTGGCTTCATACACCACCAGGACTCACCAGCTCCCTGCTGAGATGCTGTCAGTCGTTTTGCACTCTGCACATGCTCAGAAACACTGGGCCCATAACCTGTCAGTGTTTGTAAAAAGCAAAAAAGAAGGAAAGGGTTCTGACCTCCCTTTGTCTCCTCAGCCTGGTCCTCGGACCCTTGTCGGCACAAAAAGAGTCCACGAGATTATCCTTGCAGAGTTTTATTCTTAAAAGTCTTTGTGCAAAACACGACTGAATAACTATACACACCAGCACTAACCAACCAACCCAACCTCCAGACACCAGCCTCAGCAACAAACTAACATTTCTCACTTATATATACAACTTGGTGCAGACCGCTGAGTCATGCTGACCCAGCTTTATTCGCATTAAAGAAACAGCAGCCATTTTAGCCGTGACAGTAGGTGCAACTACCAAGAAGGCCCTCTGCTTGGTTCCCTGTAACCTCTCTTCTCGCAGTGAGGGAACCGTCAGAAGGCCCTTGGAGCTGAACCTCAGTTTCCGGGCTGAACGATTGGGGTGGAGACACTCTTTCAGATATACTGGGCTGAGGCCATATAGGGTTTTAAAGGTCAGCAGCACTAACACTTTGAATTGTGCTCAGAAATGTACTGGGAGCCAGTGTAGGTCTTTCAAGACCGGTGTTATATGGCCTTGGCGGCCACTCCCAGTCACCAGTCTAGCTGCTGCATTCTGGATTAGTTGTAGTTTCTGGGTCACCTTCAAAGGTAGCCCCACATAGAGCGCATTGCAGTAATCCAAGCGAGAGATAACTAGAGCATGCACCACTCTGGCGAGACAGTCTGCGGGCAGGTAGGGTCTTGGTCTGCGTACCAGATGGAGTTGGTAAACAGCTGCCCTGGACAAAGAATTGACCTGCGCCTCCATGGACAGCTGTGAGTCCAAAATGACTCCCAGGCTGCGCACCTGGTCCTTCAGGGGTACAGTTACCCCATTCAGGACCAGGGAGTCCTCCACACCTGCCCTCCCCCTGTCTCCCCAAAACAGTACTTCTGCCTTGTCAGGATTCAACCTCAATCTGTCAGCTGCCATCCATTCTCCAACCGCCTCCAGACACTCACACAGGACCTTCAGCACCTTCACTGGTTCTGATTTAAAAGAGATGTAGAGCTGGGTATCGTCTATAAGCAGAAGCCCCTGATGCCATGGCAAATGGTGCAGAAGATGAGACCAGTGTTGCTGACCATCCTTGGACCAGGCTATTTCCTAACCCTACAGCCCCTTTGGGATGCGGGTGGTGCTGTGGGTTAAACCACAGAGCCTAGGACTTGCCGATCTGAAATTCGGCAGTTCGAATCCCTGCGACGGGGTGAGCTTCCGTTCCTCAGTCCCTGCTCCTGCCAACCTAGCAGTTCGAAAGCACGTCAAAGTGCAAGTAGATAAATAGGTACCACTCTGGCAGGAAGGTAAACGGTATTTCCGTGCGCTGCTCTGGTTCGCTAGAAGTGGCTTAGTGATGCTGGCCACATGACCCGGAAGCTGTACGCCGGCTCCCTCGGCCGATAAAGCAAGATGAGCGCCACAAGCCCAGAGTCGATCACGACTGGACCTAATGGTCAGGGGTCCCTTTACCTTTACAGCCCCTTCACTGGATAACAAGCAAGCGAAGGAAAGTTGTAATGCCAGTTAAAGGGACAGGATGTTGCAGGTTCATTAGGTCCAGGAGGATGCACATTTGACCTCTGATTAACATCCTGCACAGATGTGCCCTCCTGGGAAAACAATGGAACTGGCTTTCCTCCACATCAGAGCTCTGATCCAGGATTCCTCCCCTGACCTCTCGCAATCCATTCCTTGGCCTTTGTTCCCCAGAGCCCATCCCAGGGAGGAACGGTAGTTTCTGGAGTTCAGATCGGTGCAAATCACTGCCTGTCACTCATCCATTCAGCCCATCCCCTGCGAGGAATTCATTGCCCATGAGGCAGACAGAAGAGTTCACAGCGGGGGCAGTGGATCGGGCAGCAGCAAAGCTGGCGGGCATCCACACTCTGTTTGCCTGGGTACTTGTCCAACTTGCTTGATATAATGCACAGCCACAGCAAGTGTTCTGTGGTGTTCTGTTCCCTTTCAAATTGTAGATACCCAATGCCCCCATGTGATTGCGGATCAGTGTGATCCATTGCTACACCCAGCATGTGCAGGTAAAGTTGTCCTAGTGCCTATGTCATGTGTTGTTCGGCTCTGTGATAATAGGGGAACATGTTCCAAATCAGGGATGAATCTTTGGCCACCCCGATGTCGCTGAACTATCCTTTTTGACAAAAAGTGGAAAGATTTTATTTATTTGTTGAGTTTACATACCGCCCTATGGGACGCGGGTGGCGCTGTGGGTTAAACCACAGAGCCTAGGGCTTGCCGATCAGAAGGTCGGCGGTTCGAATCCCTGCGATGGGGTGAGCTCCCGTTGCTTGGTCCCTGGTCCTGCCAACCTAGCAGTTTGAAAGCACGTCAAAGTGCAAGTAGATAAATAGGTACCGCTCCGGCGGAAAGATAAACGGTGTTTCCGTGCACTGCTCTGGTTCGCCAGAAGCGGTTTAGTCATGCTGGCCACATGACCCAGAAGCTGTATGCGGACAAACGCTGGCTCCCTCGGCCTATAGAGCAAGATTAGTGCTGCAACCCCAGAGTCATCCGCGACTGGACCTAATGGTCAGGGGTCTCTTTACCTTTACCTTCTTACCGCCCTATACCCGGAGGTCTCAGGGCGGTTCACAGAAAAGATCACAACATATATAATCAGAATAAAAACAACAACCCAATAACATATACACACACCCAGAAAAGAACCACATTTTAAAAGGATACAGGGCAGTGGTGTCCAAACTTCTTTCAAACAGGGCCAGATTTGATGAAGCGAAGGGCCATGAGGTTTTTTAGGGTTTTACCCCAGGAAGTAAACTGCCACAGGGGCCAGATTAAACTGACCGGTTGGCCGGATTAAGCCCCCGAAACGGACTTTGGACATGCCTGGTATAGGATGTCAAACAGATCAACCAAAGGCCTGGTTAAAAAAGAACGTTTTTGCCTGGCGCTTAAAGGTGTATAATGAAGGCGCCAGGCAAACTTCCCTGGGGAGAGCATTCCACAGATGGGGAGCCACTGCAGAGAAGACCGAGCGATCCCACAGCTCTTTCCCACTCCTGCTAGCTCTTCCCAAGATTGCTTGACCCTCAAAAAGAAACGGATATACTCTAAGACACACAACACGCTCATGCCATTGGGCTGAAAGTTTTACATCTCTTACAAGTGGCTGCAGCACACTGTGGTTCTGTCCACATTTCTCCCACAACTTTAGATTTGTGTAATCAAAGTGCTCTGCCATCCTGGCACAATTATATATATATATATATATATATATATATATATATATATAAAAAAGCCGCCTCCACAATCAGACTTTTTGCAGTTTGGAATTGACAGGGAAATGCAGGGAAATGCGGAAGGAACAAATGAACTAACTGGAAGCTGCATAAGCACCCAGCAATCAGGATGAATGTTCCTTGCCATATAACTGCTACATAAATGAATTGGAACGAAAGCTCAATGACCGGACATAATCTCATAATAATCATAATCCCTGTGTCAATTTTGAGCAAGGTAATCAGAGTGAATTCTTTACAAACAGGTCGTCCAGAGAGAACTAACCTCAGGAACTGCTGAGGCACACCTCTTCCTTTATGCTGGCAATCTCCGTAAAGGTAAAGGAACCCCTGACCATTAGGTCCAGTCGTGACCGACTCTGGAATTGCGGCGCTCATCTCGCTTTATTGGCCGAGGGAGCCGGCATACAACTTCCGGGTCATGTGGCCAGCATGACTAAGCCGCTTCTGGCAAACCAGAGCAGCACACGGAAACGCCGTTTACCTTCCCGCCGGAGCGGTCCCTATTTATCTACTTGCACTTTGACGTGCTTTCAAACTGCTAGGTTGGCAGGAGCAGGGACCGAGCAACGGGAGCTCACCCCGTCGCGGGGATTCGAACCGCCGACCTTCTGATCGCCAAGTCCTAGGCTCTGTGGTTTAACCCACAGCGCCACCTGTGTCCCTCGGCAATCTCGGTACTTCCCTGTAAATTTAAAGAGAAGTGGGCAGCTGCAGAACTGCTTTATCCCTCTTGCTTTCATAAGGCCAGATTAGATATTCATAAAGTGCTTTGGCGATGATCTGCAAGGGGCATTATCATCAACGCAGATCCCCCGCCGTGAGAATGAGCCGGGAGGCTGAATGGGGCCAGCTTTTCTCCGAGAGAAACATGCCACATTGATTCTCCAAGGAGGCCATCCCCGGAATATCACGTCCTTA